TTTTTGGTATAAACCATATGTCCAAAATTCGGACTTTAATCATTCGACAAAAAGAATGTCGACGTAACAACAGAACCGACCCTTTCTAACATAAAGAAGGAAGAAAAAAGAAAGAGCTTTTGCACGATTCTCACAGATGTTAAGTTTGACATCATCATGTTTACTCTAAACTCTTAAGTAACTTCACAACCTCTTCACAGAATCACCGGACATTCACCATCAATGGTAGACTCAACCTGATTTACCTCCCAGAGGCATATCAAAAAATTTGTATTATAATGAAGTTAGTACAAAATAATGTCGTGTGAACTCACAAATGCAATAATTAAAATGAATCATTCAAATTTATTTGAATATAAACTAACATGATCATTCACTTGAAAGTAATAAATTATGTATGTTACTCAATTCCCATGTATTTATATATCCAACACTTAAACTTCTATTTAATGCATTTAAATCTTGTATATCAATTCAAAATTATAATTCTCACTTACTTTTTATCAGTAAAACACATCTCATGCATACACTTATCAAACCAATGTCCTAGGATTATGAATATAAAAGTTTAGATATTATATATTTGATGACATAAAAAATTTGCATACAGACGTAAAACTATATGTACGTGCAAATTGAAGTTTGTGTTAAAACATATAAGTACATAGAAATTTAATAGTATGTACGTAGAAATTGAAGTTCATATAATATATTTTTAAAGGCATAGGAAATTAGTTTTATACAACAACAATAACAACAACAAAGCCTTAATCCCACTACGTGAGTCAGCTACATGAATCTGTTTTCTCCATTGCGTCCTATTTGGTGTCATATTTTCATTTAGTTCTAATAAATTAAGATCATTTTTTATACAATAAGCTCGTCTTCCTATGTCAACATCTGCCTTTCTTAACATAAGTCGAATATAAAACATCTGCTCTCCTAATCAGATCATCAGATGGTCGACGTTTAATGTGACCAAACCATCTAAGACGACTCACTCTAATTTTGTCTGTCACTGGAGCTACACCAACCCTTTCACGAAGATATTAATTTCACATTTTATCTCTAAGTGTAAAGCCACTCATCCACCTAATCATTATCATCTCAACAACACTTAACTTAGCATTATGCTTCTCTTTTAAAGGCCAATATTCAGCGCCATAGAGCATTGCAGGTCTCACCACTATCTTATAAAATTTTCTTTTCAGTCAAGTGGTACTTTTCCGAAAATTTAAAATTTAGAAAGAATAGGGTTTAAACCAACTTGAATTCTACTATTAACATACCCATCTATATTACCATTGCTTTGAACAACAGACCCAAGATATCTAAAATGTTCACACCTCTTAATAATTTGATCACCCAAAGTCACACTTCCTAAAATCTAAAATTACAATTCTATCACTAGAGCTACTACTACTAAAATAACATTCCATGTATTCAGTTTTAGTTCTATTGAAATGAAAGCCTTTAAACTCCAATTTAGACCTCAATAATTTAAGTTTTTCCTGGGCTTTTTCTCTCGTCTTATCCACGAGAAGAATATCATCAACAAAAAACATACACCAAGGTACATCCTTCTATAAATGTCCAGTACGACCATCTATAACTAAAGCAAAAAAGATATGGGCTTAAAATCGATCCCTCATGTAATCCAGACGAAATAGGAAAATAATTTGTCAATCCTCCTTCAGTTTGAACACAAGTAACAACTCTAGTATACATATCTTTAATGACTTGAATATACGTCATATCAACACATTTCTTTTCAAGAACTCTCCAAAGGATATCTCTTGGAACCTTATCGTAAGCTTTTTCTAAATCAATAAAAATCAAATGTAGATCCTCCTTATTATCTCTGAACTTCTCCATCAAACCTCTCAATAAATGTATAGCTTCCATAGTAGACCTGCCCGACATAAATCCAAATTGATTATGAGAAATCTTTATAATACGTCTTAATCTATGTTCAATTACCCTATCCCATAATTTTAAAGTATGACACATCAACTTAATTCCTCTATAATTTGCACACCCTTGCGCATCCCCTTTAAGAACTTGAAGTTTAGATGTCATGTATGAAAATTCATAGGAATTATGTAGTATATAAATAAGTTTTCAATCTCTTATTTTGCTGTTGAAGGTAATAAGGAGTGGTGAATGATGGCTAAATTTGAGAAAAAATTAAAACAAGTTTGTAAGTTATTTATGTGACAGTTTGAACAGATTTTGGCTAGCATTTGAGCAACATTTGGATGGCCTTAAATCAACGTTTGAGCGAGGGATAGAGGAGTTAGCTTTGCAGCAGGATTTTGACAGGATTTATGCCAAGTTTAAATGCTATTTTGCGGCAGAAATTCAACAAGGTTCAAACATATTTTAGGCATCTTTGGTAGCTGAATTTCAACAAACTCACAACAAGATATATGCAGAATTTTAGCAATGTTCAAAAGATCAAACATGATACCATGCATATGAATGAACTCTTTAATGTATATGAAGTCAAATGAAGTTGATTCACTTAAAAAAATATTTTGAGTCAGTGCAAATGAAATATCATTACATAATTAAGTCACTAAGATTATAAAAACAAATTCATATAAAATACATCAAGATTCATAACATATTCATATTAAGATATTAAAAAAGAAAATTATTTGGAGAAATGTGTACCTTGTGAAATGAAGAGGATATGGGGCAACATGAGTTTTTTGTTCTTTGCTTATTAGTTCCTTTGTTCGAATCAAATGAGAGTGTGTATGAGTTTGGTCCTGCTCCGCCGAAATCATAAAAATGAGAGTTTTAGATTGTTAATTTATGTGAATGAAGAGTTGTTCCCTTGTTGCTTTCGGTTGGAAGGGTGAAGAAAAGAGAAATGTTGTGGTTCCTGGTGTGAATGTTGTGAGGTGAGCAAGCTTCCTTGCTTGCGAACCAAATGAGGAAGGAGAAGCTTGCGATTCCATTGGACATGAGAGAAAAAAGACCCCATTTCGACTGTGTGGTATGGAAATCTGAAAATTTACACTTAGGGCTTCTATGAGACTTGCTAGGCTTTAATAACCACCTCTCTCTTCGATTAAAATCAAAGGGTGGAAATAAAAAAAGGAGGAAGGGGAAGCTTGTGATTCCTTTGGTTATGAGAGGAAGAAGACCCCATTTCAGCAAGGTAGTATGAGAATCCAAAAATTGACACCTAGGGCATCTATAAGACTTGCTAGGCTTTAATATCCATTTCTATTTGATTAAAATCAAAGGGCAAAGATAAAAAAATTAAGAGTTTAAGGATTGGAACAAGGCGCAGGGTTTAGAAAAAGGCTTAGACTTAGCTTTTTTAATGGCACATTAAAATACCAACCACCGACCTCTTGTATATATACATATCTATCACTTAAACAATATATTTTTTATATTATACCACCCTTTTAAATTTAAAAGTGATATAAATATTTGTTCATGTATAGAAAAGGTGGCATGCATGTAAAAAAATAAATTTAGGTGTTAGATATTAAAATATTCATTTCCTTCTTTTTATGTTTTGTTTGGTTTTAAATTTGGTTTGTTCTAGGTTTGCTCTTAGTTAAATTATGATTTAGCTTAATTATAGGTTTAATTTAATTCAATTTAAAAATTACTTTTATTGTTTTTATTATTTATATTTAGTTTTTGTTTTAATTTAGGCTTTAATTAATTTAAATTTGGTTTGATTTAATTTTGTTCTAGTTGGTTTTAAATTAATTTGAATTTGGATAAGTGAATTTCAATTTTAATTTTAACTTCAAATTTGTTTTAGTTGGGGTCCATTTTAAAATACTTTATAGTTAATTCAAATTTAAGTATTTAATTAGTTGTAAATTTGAGTTAATTTTAATTTTAATTTTAATTTTGACTTAAGCCTATCTAAGCTAACTCAATCCTTGAGCCAGGCCTGAGACCAACTAGACCAAGCCAGGCCGGGGACGACCTGACCTAATCCTAGCCAACTAGATCAGGTCAAAGCCAGCTCAACTACCTAGGGGTATTGAGAAGGAATCCTGTGTCTAGATAGGAGTGGCCAGAGGCCAAAGAAGGGAAAGGTGACCAAAAATGAGGTTAGCAAACTACCTTCCTTTTAAAATAGTAATAAGGTTCCTGACCTCAAAGTGCACATAAAAGCACCATATTCAACTATGACTATTGTGATGATCTCTAAACTAATTTTGAGGCTTTGACATGTAAAAATTGATTCAAGCAACTGAGAATTCATTAGAAATCTCACAATAGATTATTGCACTATGTATTATGAATTAGACAACATTGCTCAATTATTGAATTTAGCATTGAAGAAACTCTTAGGTGTAAAAACACATAAGGAGCCGCTAACATATTTCTTTTAAGATATTTATTTGTAGATATTATTACTACAATAGATGCCAAAAAAGTAAGAGTAGTTCCAAAAAAACATGTCAAAAAGCTAATAGAGAATAAAATAAAAAAATCATACCAAACCAAACATATTTGGTTTATTTTTCTTGGTTGCTAAAATATTAGTTCAATTATTGGTTGTAATTTTGACTTTCTTTGATTTTTGGTGGTTGGTTCAGTTTTGTCTTTTGTAGAACCAATTAAATCAAAGACCAAATTATATTAATTTCTTCAAACAATAAATCACTAAAGTCAGAGTAAATAAACATGTGACATAAATCAATGACTATTGTTTATTCCACAAGCCAAAATTCTAAATTTTAATAAAGATCACTAAGTATTTTTCCATAAGGTTCATTATTAAGGTAAATTATATTTTCGTTCATCTAAATCAAACCGAACCAATCAAACTGAAGTCTGGCTCAATGGAGATTCATTTGAAAAATAGTTCCTGTTAGATTTTCTTAATTTTATAATTGAAACTATTTAAATCAGCAAATTCGTAGATCAAATCATTCAAACCTACCAAATGCAGCTTCAACCAAAGAAAACAATGAGTACAAATAAAAATTAGTAAAAAAAAGAAAAAAACTCACATTGTTCCGAGATAACCTGCAATGCTGTCGAAGGCCGCCAGCAGGCCTGGCACCAATAGTCCCCAATGGAGAGGGAAGTCAGCCCTAATGCAACCGATGGGAGGCACTGAGAGAGGAAATCAGCAGAAGTAAGGTGGAGATCATCGGCATCATCAAAGCCAACATCATCTTCCTCCTCATCAGCACCAGCGGCATCGGGCACCTCCGCGGAGATAGAGAGTGAGCGGAGGGCTCCCTCGCTTCCCGACAAAAAGGACAGCAGATTGAGGACGAGGGTTCGGAAGGGGATAATGAAGTCCCTCGTCGCGGGAGCGCGAGATCGGAGAAAGCGTTCGCGGGAACAAACCACGGATATGGATCGGACGTCGCAGGATAGGAATCGCAGGGTTCGGGAAGCGAGGCGGCAGCGAGCGAGGTCGGTGGAGTCGCCAAGCCGACTTAGTATCTCGACAAGAATGGGAAGAGGGAGGTTCTCCATACCTCCGCTTGGAGTCTCCTGGTCGGAAGGGGAGGAGGGCGGGGGGCGCTCTAGTCTGGCCTACATGTTTTTTTTTGGGTCGATATTCTAGTTTGTTTGGGGATGTGCTTTCAATATCCAAGCCCTCAACATTTCAGGCTGTAAATGAGTAGAGCTCAGGCCGGGTCCTCTTGAAGGTCCGGATTAGTCAGTTATGTAATCTAAGATAATATGATTACATTCAGATGACCCTTCGGACTTGAGTTTTACTCTATTTGAGCTTGAGCTCGAGTTTGGGCTCAGTTTCAAGCTTAGCTTTATGAGCTTGAGCCGACTCACAAATCGGCTTGTTTAGTCTGAATGGGAGAAAATAATATTTAATTCAAGCTAGAATTATAGTAAATAATAAATAAAATAAAACTTAAGTGATAATCAATAAAAATTGTGCTGGTATTAAATTTACAACAACATGTCTTTATCCCAATAAGTGGGGTCGGCTACATGAATCTTTTTTTTCTTACCGATTGTCATATTTTTATTAAGTTTGATAGATTATGATGATTTTTTATACAATATGCCAAAGTTACTTTATGTCTACCTATATTTTTCTTAACATAGTCAAATCTAAAACATCTACTCTCCCAACTGAATCATCAGATGGTAAACGTTTAATGTGACCAAACCATCTAAACGTCACTCTCTAATCTTGTCTACCGCTGGAACTACACCAACCTTATCACAAATATATTCATTTCGTATTTTGTCTCTAGGTGTCAAGCCACTCATCCAACTAAGCATTCTCATCTCAACAACGCTTAAGTTTGTTTTATGCTTTTTTTTTTAAATGCCAACATCACCATGAAGCATTGCTGGTCTCACCACCATCGTATAAAATTTTCCTTAAAGTCTAAGTGGTACTTTTCTATCAGATAATAGGCCTGATGCATTCTTCCACTTCAACCAGCAAACTTTAATTCTACTAATAGCATCCTCGTCTATATCAACATGACTTGGAACAATATAACGTTCACACCTTTTAATAATTTTATCACTCATAGTTACAACTCTATCACTAAAGATAATACTAGTAAAATTGCATTCAATGTATTAAAGTTTAGATCTACTCAAACGAAGGTCTTTAGACTATAATATAAACATGCATAATTCAAGTTTTTTTTTCCAGTACTCTTTCTCTAGTCTTATCCACAAGAAGAATATCATCAGACAAAAACATACACCAAGGTACATTCTCCTATAAATGTCCAATAAGAACATCCTTCGTATCACTCATAGTTACAACTCACCATTATCTTATAAAATTTTTCATTAAATTTAAGCGGTACGTTTCTATCACACAATATGCCAGATGCATTCCTCCACTTCAACCAACAAACATGAATTCTACTAATAACGTCGTCATCTATACACCATCACTTTGAACAATAGGCTCGAGATATCTAAAGGTTCACACCTTTTAATAATTTGATTACTCATAGTTACAACTCTGCTAAAATTATATTCAATGTATTTAGTTTTATATCTACTCAAATGAGGCTCTTTAGTCTTCAATGTAAACCTTCATAATTCAAGTTTTTTTCTTATACTCTTTCTCTAGTTTTATCCACAAGAAGAATATCACCAATCCAGTAAGATCATCCATAACTAAAGCAAAACAATATGGGCTTAAAGCCTCTCGCTAATGTAATCAAACTGAAATAGAAACATACTTGGTCAATCTCTATTTTGTTCGAACACAAGTAACAACTCTAGTATACTTATCCTTAAGGACTTGAATATAATTCAGATCAACATTTTTCTTCTCTAAAACTCTCCAAAGGATTTCTCTTGGAAGCTTATTGTAAGCTTTTTCTAAATCAATAAAAGTCATATTGAGATCCTCCTTGTTCTCTCTTTACTTCTCCAGCAAACCTCTAGATAAATGTATAATTTCCATAGTATATTTTTTCTCACATAAATCCAAACTAATTATGAGAAATCTTTGTTCTCTATTTGTATTGTGTCTTAACTCGGGGAATGGTTCGATTTGGGTAGGGGGTCAATCGGACCCAAAGTGGGTGATCGAACCAGTGCGATCAATCAAACCCAAAAGAGTGTGTGATTGATAGGGGACGACCGATCAAACCCAAAGCGGGTGATTGAACCGCGGTGGTTGATCAAACTGAGGTGGTCGATCGAACCCAAAAGAACGAGTGATCGGCCTTGGATGGCCGGTCAAACTCAAAGCGGGGAGGTCGTTCAAACAAAAACGAGCGGGTGATCGGCTCGGGATGGCCGATCAAACCCAAATCGAACCCAAAAGAGCGGGTGATCAGTCCGGGATGATCGATCCAACCCAAAGTAGTGATTGAACCAGAGCGGTCGATCAAACCTTAAAGAGCGGGTGATCGACTCGGGACGACCTATCAAACCTAAAAGAGGTGATCGAACCGGGGTAGTAAAACGATCCCAAAATAGCAGGTGATCAGCCCAGGACGCTCGATCAAACACAAAGTGAGTGATTGAATCCAGACGATCGACTGAACTAAAAAGAGTGGGTGGTCAACCCGTTACGACTGATCAAGCCCAAGACGATCGGTCAATCATGTCGGGGTGGTCGATCAAACCGATGTGCTCACACTATCATGCGTACAATATGGGATATGCTCCACATGCAAAAATGCAACAAATGAACACACATATAATGCAACCCAAAATACTCGATGATTGTCGAACTAGTTCTATCAATCTCACATGGGATCTCAAATGACTTTCGATATGCGACACATATGCCTTGGCGAGGAATGTGGAGAACTTCATCCTTCGATTTCTCGTAGGAGAAGTCCTTCACCATTTATAGGAGAGACTGTCTACAAAGTTCTTCCGTCCTAGAATCCCTTCACCATCCTGTAGAATGAGCTAGCTACAAAGTTTTTTTTTCATTTTTCAAGATCCAACTATTTCAACCCCTCTGTGGAAGGTTGGAAGCGGCAAAACCATTGGAAATTGGGATTCCGACATGCTAAGATTAGGGCTAAAACTTGTAATGTGAAGTTGCTTGGATTCGTAAATGAAATGACCACGAATTTGTTTCTTAACCTAGGGCTTCCTATATGAAATAAACAACCAATCTGTAGGCGTATGGTCGTCCCGACTAGTGTCGGACGACCAACTTGCGTAGCTTGAGCAACCAAATCCACGATGACCCCACAAAGCTGGCCAATCAAAAGGTGTAAGGTTGAGTTGGTCGGCATCGTTTGGTCAATCGAACCGTCCGATAACGAGCAATCTACTGAACTGGACGATACCGGGCGACCGATCAGACTTGTCTTTTGTGGGTGACCAAACCCACAACACCTAGCAAAATCTAATCATAGGGCTGGCTAAGAAAGAAAAATATGAAGGTTGAGGAGATTATACCATTGCAATGGTTAATCAAAGTTCGACAGTTGCTCGGGAAGAAGCTCTCTTCGTCGTGAAGAGATTTCGGCGATGCTCCAAGTACCGGCCTTCGCTTCCCTCGGGACATGGAGTTTTCCAACGTTGGTGCAACACCACGCTTCGCTCTTTCACTTTGTTTCTCTGGCCAAGATGTTGATCGAGAAAGAAAATGCAAGAGAAAGAAGAAGGAAGGAAAATGGAGAAGAGGCATGGCTTAAAAAGAGAAATCAATGAATAAACATTAAGTTAAGTAATCTCAAAATTTTCATAGGGATTTTTTGCATAATTCAGATATAGATTTAATTATTTGCTAGAACACCATAAGAGGAGATCATCAATTTAAGCAATATGATGGCTCTATATTAATTATGGGATTCATATGATGTAATTTTAATGGCCAAAGTATATTATAAGAATTTAATAAGTTGCTTAGAAGTACAAAACACGTATCAATGAAAAATAATTAACTGTAACTAAAAGAAGTACAAGTCAAAAAGCTGTGGAAAGAAAGAATTTTTGTACATTGAGCCTAAGAAACAATATAACATAATACATAAAAAAGTTTCTGATCATGGATAAATCAAAGAATAAACGATATGTCACAATAAGTTCATTTACATAATGAATGATTATAATAAAAAAGAAGCATGATTGATAAAATCAGAGCACATGGATTGCGAATGTGGACAAGCATCCTATCATTAATAACGACATTTTTATAATAAAAATATTTATAAAAAAATTCCTTATTCTTAAAAGGAATGGCCAAAGGCTATTATAGGATCCTCCAACCATTTCTAATATGCCTAACAATTCGAGTACCACGTCTTTGAGGCCAATTGTGTCAGAATAGATTCAAACCCCCGACATGAGGGGTTTTTATTCCGTGGATATTTATAAAATAATTATATATATAATCATTTATAAGAAAATGAGAGATGACCCGAGCCCGTATAATAACCTCCGACCATTCCTTTTCTTGTTCGGAACTAAGAGAAAAAAAATCACTGTAAATATTTAGATTCTTATTAAAAACTTGTCACCACCAACAAATGGCTTCCATTCCGCGTATTAAGAAAAAAAAAATCAAAATTGCTGGCTGATTGGTACGAGCCTTGCCTCAATTATTTGCTTTTAATAAAGCAGAATTGTACTATCTATAAATTGACCCATCGATTGTTAAGATTGTTTCACTATATGTATATTAACTTGTTCGGAACTAAGAGTTTGCAGATATGAATTTATTATTATGTCAGGTGAATCACTTATCTGTACAACCGCGATCATCTAACCATGTCAACATGCATTTTGTGTGGTCAGACCGCCGACAACATCTGGACATGATAACTTCCCATAACTTGCCAAATTCACGCTTAAAAACACTTGCACACAAAACTATCAAAAACACTTCTTTTAAGTTTCAGCCTTGCTCCCCATTTTTCAACCTTTAAACAAATATAATCATGATAATTTAAAAATTAATAATTAATCAAAATCAGTAATAAGAGAACTAGTTCGCTTTGCATGTTAGAACCAAATATGTACATACAAACTGCATGTTAGCACATAGAACTATCATCAGAAACTCTGCCGCTCACACCATTGCTGTACTCAAGACAATAAAAGAGAGCTCACAACAAGCTCAATCGTCCCAGTCCAAACCATCAAAAAACAAGCTCCAACAAATCTCATTAATAAACAAGTAACGACGATCCTAAAACTAGCCGTTAAACCATATATACAGACAACATGCAGCAGCAATCATCTTCTTCATCCATTCATACTGCAGTTAATCTTCAAGCTCTCTGTACTCCATTGATACCTCCTCAATCTTCATCTTTCATCAAAGAACACGCAAGCTACAGAGCAATCATCCACCCTATGAGATGGATACTTTCGCTTCCACTCTCTAACGGCTGCTTTTACGACTGATTTGGATGGATCCTTTCCTCTCAAAAAACTCGACCAAATAGTCTTCACAACTTGTTCGTTGCTAAGAACATCCCAAATCTGCAACATCAGCAAAAAGATAATTTAGAAACCATTATGATCAAAATGAACTGAAAGGAGGAGGCCGACCAATTAATCCATTACCCCATCTGTTGCCAGAACTATGAATTGGTCCCTTTCTCTTAACCTGCGATACGAGACTTGAGGAATTGCAATGACGCCATAGTTCTTAAGTTCAAAGTCTCCGAAAGCACGGGCCATGGCAAGGCCTGGGAAGTTTGTATCTGGTAGCCATACTCGTTGTATGTCGGGTTGATCCCTTAGTGCAAAAACTCGACCGTTGTTCTTCCTTATCCTCTCTGCTTCATCTGGATAACAGAGTCCAGGGCTTAGAGTTCACGCTTGGCAAGTATATAAGCAAATGGTAAGTAGAGTTTTCTTACGGGGAACATTGGGTTTCAGATCTGTTGTTAGCTGAACAGCTTTCAAGTAGCCTTCTTCTGAGATGGTTCCCATTACAGCCCTTGAATCACCGAGGTTTGAGATAATTAAATCATTTCCCTGCAAAATTATGAGAATTCAGAAGCTGTTGTGCTGACATTTGTTATAAAGATGTAAGCTTTGATATCTTTATTACCTGTTTGATGATGGTTACTGCAGTGGTTCCACTATGTAAGCTGTTTAACTTAGGGTGGAGCTCAATCTCCTTATCCATGGCTTTGAATGCGCTGATGCAGGCTTCCTTCCACTCATCGAAAAGCTCCGGCGAGGACGCCGAGCTGAGCCTTTCATCGATGGAGCTCATGTCATCGCAGTCACTCGAATCATAGGCATTGTCATGGCGATGCTGGAGCAGCAGAGAAGGAAGAGAGTCCCTCACTAGCCTGCTCACTATGTGACCATTTCTTCCATGGCCATCAAAAACTCCACAGAACACGCCATCTTCCATCCCAAACCCCTTCAATTCGAACAAAGAAGGACAGCTCTCAAGTTAGTCGCCATAGTTTAGCTCTATATTAGAAGAAGACAGAGATTTATCAAGTTGGGTGTTTTCTTCGTTTGATTTATACAATTATGATTTGTTGTCACCCACATGTCTATGTTGCAGATATTCATAAGAATATTTCCAATAAAAAAACACAATAAATGATTTATGAATGGGCCATGTGAATAATAACACATGGTTGAGAGAATTTAAACCAAACTTTCTCCAAAATATGAAATTATCAACAAGGAGAATCATTTGCGTGTCACTCTATCAAAAATAATATTTTTCTGTTAAACCTTTAGCAACCACACAAAACTGAATCCAATACCAGTCACAAAACCTAAATATTTATTTCAGGGAGTCCTTATCGACTAGGATCTCAAGTAAAAGATTGCAAAAATTTCTTTTTGATCCCCAGATCAAGAAGATACGCAATAAAAAAACTCAAATTTTACAACTTTTCCCAAGAAGTTGGAATCTTGAGTAAGAAAATCATGGATTTGGATCACTTCGATCCAAGAAAACCCAAGTATTCGGATCACTTTGATCCTGTTGCATAAACTTTCCGACACAAACAAGAAAACTGAAACCGAGATTTCAACTTTTTTTTTTCTTTAACTTGAATTAAAGTTCAGTGATAAGAAAATATAGGGGCAGATGAATCTCATACCTGATAGAGGATTGCAGAGTCTTGATTCGGTCCTTTTTTTCCTTGCCGAGAGTAAAGAGAAGCAAGCCTTGAAGTTCCTCTATCGCCATGACAGTATGCAACGTTCCTTTCTCTCTCTCTCTTTTGCACAGACTCAGAAGAAGCACAGAGCCCCATGGATGATGGAACCCCTCGGGTAAGAGAGAGAGAAGAGAGACGAGAGAGAGAGAGAGAGAGAGAGAGAGAGAAGTGGGTTTTACAAAACTCTACCGTCCGGCCGGCTTTACAATTATAGAACAGAAGGGCGCCACTTATGTAGACGTGTCTTATTAAAGTGGGGAATCAATGGAGGCAAGAGCAATCTGGATAATTAGGTCGCTAAGGGAATGTTACGTTTTGATTAATAGAAATTAATTAACAACGATATTTTTAGGGGCATTTACATACATACCACTCAATTCTTAATTGTCGTGATCCAGCTGCATAATTTGAATTTGATTTCATCAAATCTTAAGTCGTTCATGTTAACTTAAAATGAGTTCCAAAAATATGTTTATATTTGTTTAAAAAATTTAATGTTCACTAGAATTATTTATATTAATTTAAAAATTAAAAAATTCAAATAATTACTTAATTTTTTATGTAAAATTAAATATTTTATTTGTACATGTTTTTTCATATTAAATTAGTAAAGTGAAAGCAAAATATTGAAACAGAATTTAGCTCATACAGTCTTAACACAGGCCCATAGGATACAGTGTGTCACAGACAAAAAAGTCTCACATCGATTAGGTGTAGGGCCGAAAAACAATATGTAAGTCCCGGGCTGCCCACCACTCTGAAGAGCTTTTTTGGGAGGTGACAGATGGTTGTATATAAATGGTTTGCTAGACTTAAGATAATTATTATAGTTAAGTAAATATATTAAGTCATAAGCTAATGATCCAATATTAACAGACTTTATTTATGTTCGGTATTATAAAAGTAAAAAAATTTAAATGGACATTTAATTTTTTATGTAATGTTATTTACAAAAGATATTATGAATCTAATTAAATAAATAATTGAATAGATTTCAATTAACATCTAACTCGTTAATATCAAATAAAATAATATATATAAGTCATAAATTTATTTTTTTAAATTTTTTTCACAATCAAACAACATAAATAATGACTAACAAATTAGTTCATTGAAAAAAAAAATAAATTTAATTTTATATGTACATTGATATTAATTATATTATGTTATTATTAAATAAATAACTAAATAAGTTTTAACTAATCAATTTTATTTAAATAATTTGTTATTTAAATATAAAATATTTAACAAATTACTTGCTGAACATTAAATGATTTTCAACAAGCGAGTTGGACTGTACTCAAATTTTATTTATTGAAGCTCCCAGTCTTTTAAAAATGTTCAAACTTGTTTATTTACTAATTTGAACGAAGGTGATGGACTATTAATCGAGTAAAATTCGAGTTGTTCTTTAAATGCATTGATTCATTTACATCCCTAATTCTTATGTATTTACATATCTAAAACCTCAATATGCCTTCAAATTGGTAGCTCTAACAAAAAATAATGAAAAATTTACATAAATACCCCAATTCTAATATATTTACTTATCTAGCACCTAAACTTTAGTTTTTACATACTTGCCACTCTATTTTACTTTTAAGAAATTGTGGCTTCAAAGCATTGCCCGCTGCAGAATTTATAACTTCTACGATTAGGAAAACCTGAATAAATAAATACTTTTAATATATTCTTCATGTGACAGCCTTTATTTTTAATTACATTTTTTTTATCGTTTTTTTTTCTATTTTTTCATAGTTATTATATAAATTGAACCCATCAGCAGAATCGGCAAAGATCATTTAATACTAAGGGGAACAAACATTGGCACATATACCATGCAATATATTCCTATGTATTTACATATATGACATCTAAATTTTATTTTTTACATTTATACCACCCAAATCTTTCATATCACATTCAAAATAGCATTAGTTAAATTTTTTAAAAGTGAAAGTACCTTCTAATTCATAGTTAAGTTGACATGTTTGTACAAATTAAATTTTAGGGCCAAAATAGCCCCTAACTATTTAAATAGGGCTATTTTAGTCCCAAAAGTTCAAAAAGTTCAAAATAGTCCCTAATTATTTTAAAATTAAGCATAATTGTCCTTCATTGGAATTATTTAAACATTTTTATAAATTTTGAGACTAAAATGACCTGTTAAAATAGTTGGGGATCATTTAGGCACTTTAGTCTATATGTGAATACTTAAGAAATGAGTGGCATGTATATAAATCTTCCAATAAAATAAAATAAATATTATGTATTTACATATTTCACAACTAATTACTTACTTATGTTGCTTAGAGATCTATATATATATATCAAACAGGAGAACATTCAACAAAGCAAAAAACAGAATGAAAAAAATCACACTAGAAAAGAACATTAACACCACAGCGGAACACACAGATTTACGTGATTCGACAAATTGTCTGCGTTCACGGAGTTGCAGAGGATTTTACTACTTGAAGAATTTACAACAGTCGATCACCTCGACTTACAAGAGGAATCTGTCACTTCGTTGCTCTCTTTGTTCTTCTCTCTCCATACCGAGATACACCGAAGAAAACTCTACATTAAGATACACCAAAGAAGACAAACTTACAAGAGAAATAAATCTAATTTATCTTTTGTCACAAGTCACCAAGAAGAAGCAAAGGAAGAACAATCTTCTTCTTCTTCTTACTTCTTTCTTCTGCCGCAAGGAACTACTTCTTATCTTCCTCTATCCCAAGGAAACCCGAAGAACTCATCCTCTATCCTGAGGAAGCCCGAAGAAAAACTCAAAACGTGACTTCCCAACTTTTTTCTCTTCTGCTCGCAACTTAAAGGAGACGGGAGGAGGGAAAGGTTCGCGACAGCAGAGAGACGCGACTTCGCAAATCAGGACCGGGGAGCAGCGGGAACAACGGTTATCGCAACATTGCAGGTCGCGGTTGCGATCTTTCACGATCGGGAGCGGGGAGTTGGCGCCGTTTCGCAAAAACAGGAGCGGGAAGCAGGCGCGACTGAGCGAGAGCGGTCCTATCGGATTCCAGTGCTAAGAACTTATTCATGAAATATATTATTAATTAAATCGCAGTATAATGTTAGTATGAAAAAATGTATTTCTTTTTATAGAATATAATGTTATATAAGAAAATAAAAATTTTAATATGTCTAAAATTTTCCCAAATGAAGTTCTCTTGATAAAGTTAGTTGCTGATATAGATTGACTTAACATAAGTACGGCTGGAATGACACGGCAGACTCTTGCAGTTCTTCCATGTCTATAATCCTAATCTCTAGGCATAGACAGAGGATGTCAATTGAAATAAAAAAAATAATTAATTAATACTTTATATGGTTGTTATGGCTTCGCCAAATTTAAGAAACTTTGGACACAATAAATAATAATTGGTTTATATTTTAATCCAATAATGTTGATCAAACCAAATTAGTTTCTAAACCCCCCTACAAAAATGCAATTAATTTATGCAAATTTAGATCGTATTAATATTATGTGATTATTTGCATATGATTCATGAAAGGAAGTTTTACATGCATACCACTCAATTTTTATGTATTTACATATCTATCTTCTAACCTTCAATCTACACACAAGTCACCTCATTTGCAAATGAAAAAGCTGCATATTATTTTTTTAAAATTAAATAATGATATTTTTGATAGATAGAATAATTTTAGATGGTATAAATCTAAAAAATAAATCTTTTAGGTATGTAAATGCATAAATATTGGATGTTATATATATATATATATATATATATAACCTTAATTGTGTCTGCCCCTCCACAGTTTTTGTTGTGCTTGCACATC